TCCAGCAGGGGCAGCTTTGAAGAGCATTTATCCTTCGGGGAATTGACAGCAGGCCACGTGATCTCTGGGAGGCACTGGTAAGGCTGCAGCCTGGACACAGCTCCCCCCAGCCCCCGCCAGCACCCTGAAACCCACTGTCCACACCTGTCCTGCTTCCAGGTCCAGCTGTGTAGGCCATGCCAAGGGGCTGGAATGCAGAGCTCACCCCACAGTGCCCAACGCGCGGCACCAGGCCCACTCTGTGAGTTTGTCAGCTGGAAGTGTGGCCAGGACTGAAAATGACACTCAGCACAGGGGCAGCCCCGGGGAGGGGGGGAGATGCTGGGGGCGGGGGGGGGGGGGGAAATGGCTGACACCGGTCCGACAGGGGAGACCTTGAGTATCAGGCCAGACACAAGACCGACTAGTCCTGCAGGATTCCTTCCCTCCCGAGTGTCAACAGGAAGTAGCCTGGAAGGTGCTGGGGCAGGGGAGGACCCAGGATGGGTGTTGGTGGGGACAGAGCTTGCATTTTCCAGGATGTGAGCCCTGTAGGTGGATGGTGGTAACGCTGCCGCATGACAGCGTGATGCCCTCGAGCTGGGCGTGTCTGACAATGTCCATTTTATCACAATAAGAAAGTATTTGGGGCTGCTGGTGGTACAGCACTTGCCTGGGGTTGCAGGAGGCTCTGGTTCCATCCCAGCACCTCAACAAATTTCAACTCCAAATACAGTCCCAGTGTCATAGCCCTTGGACCAACAGGCTGGGCAGAGGCGCCCCTTCCTGGCACCACCCAGCAAACAGAAAGCATTTTGCTGGCAAGGCAGGCTGGCTTTGGGGGTGCCTGTCCCTTTGGTGTTGGTGAGGAGGAGATGGCTGTATTTCCTGGCTCCCTGTGCCATCGTGGTTACTAAGACCAGTGAATTCCAAACACAGAAATTCCTGTTTGCAGCTGAGCTGCCTAGGCTCCCTGCACCCCATCCTGGCTGGTTTCTGACAGCTCCTGAAGGGAAAGGGAGGCCAGATTCGGGGAGGCAGGCGAGGGTTCAGGGACCCAGCCTGCACTGCTACCTGTCATGGCCAAGGGTCACAGCTCACACATTTAGTGGTCAGCACTGGCCAAGGCCATGCATGCAGGAGTGTGTGTGTGAGAGGGTTAACGTCATTGGGTGTGTGCATATACACGTGGATGTGTGTGCTGGTGTCTGTTTAGATCTAGATATCCCCTCAGGGCTTTTGGAAGATGACTGGACCTTGGGCCAGAATGCTTGATTTGTTTTTAGGAGGCGGGGCCTTATTGGAAGTGGTGAGGAATCTGGCAGAAAGGGGCGGACTGTTGTGAAGCTGTGGTTCCTGGACCAGGGGCCATCCCTGGGGTGTGGCCTTGAAGGGTTCACCTCTCTCCCCAGCTCCTCCCTGCCTGATCTCCCTTCCTGCCTCCCTGCCACCTTGCCCTGAGCAGCTCTCCTGGGTGCAGACCCTTCCACGGACTGCCAACCATGCAGGCTACAACTTCCAAACCAGAAGCTGAGGAGGTGGGAGCGTGTCCTGCCCGTACTTGACATCAGGCCTTTGACAATCACCATTTCTCTCCATCCGGTCACTTGCTTTGGAGGCTGCCCTTGGACACTCCGCTGGCAAAAGAGACATCAGGGCCAACTGGGACCCCTGACATGGCCAGCAGGTGGTACCCGTGTGCGTTCTGCACAGATGTATCTTCCAAGGTGACACCCACAACTCCAGTGCAGAGGACTGGGGGGCCTGCAGCCTAGGTCCAGGCTTTGAGCGTTTCAGGACTTTTTGTCTTATTTTCACAGTCATTAGCAGCCAGTTTTGGGGGCGTTGGGACACTCACCAAGGCAATCCACTTTTGCCTGAATCCACTCCCATCTGCATGGTGCTGCATGCACAGTGCTTAGTGGAGCACTGGAGTCACCACGGCCACCATGGCTCAACCCTGGGACGGCTCACCTGCTGGACACCTGCCAAGCTGGGGCCCTAGGGTCTGTGGGTATCCACCAGGGGAGCTGCAGCTGGAGCAGACAGTGCCATCCATGCAGGGCACTGCACGGCCAGAGCTGCCTGGGGAGAACACTGGGTCCTGACATTTCCGGATTCCATTAGTGCTTGAGTAGCCCTGGGGGAGAGAAGTGGTTGGTGTCTCTTGCTCTCCCTGCCCTTGGGTGGTTCTGAGAATAGAGCCCAAGTGTGGGGTATACATTCTGAAGAAATGCTGTTCAATCAAAATTACTCAGTGCAAATGTATACTAATAAAAGTAAACTAAGTGTGGGGGTGCACATCTGTAATCCCAGCACTTGGGAGGCTGAGGCAGGAAGACTGCTAGGAGTTCAAAACAGCTTGGGACTGCATCGTGAAATCAAGGGCAGCCTGAAATACACAGAAAGATTTGTCTCTGGGCTGGGGATTTAATTCAGCGGCATAAGCGCCTGCCTTGCAAGCAGGCAGTCGTGAGTTCGATCCCTGGTACCGATAAAAAGGAAAAAGACAAAAAAAAAAAAAACGAAAGAAAGATCTGTCTCAAAAAAAAAGGTGGGGGCAGGGATTTAGCTCAGCAGTGTAATCACCTGCCTGGCAAGTGCAGGTCCTTAGTTCAATCCCCGGTACAAAAACAAAACCAAAAAAACTTTTAAAAACTTTTTTTTTTTTTGTCTTTTTCCTTTTTATCGGTACCAGGGATCGAACTCACAACTGCCTGCTTCAAGGCAGGCACTTATGCCACTGAGCTAAATCCCCAGCCCCCCAGAACTTTTTAAAATATCCCCCCAAGTTGCCAGGTGTGGTGGCTCACACCTGTAATCCCAGCACTTGGGAGGCTGAGGCAGGAGGATCGTTGCGAGTTCGAGACCACCCTGGGCTACAAAGTGAGCTCAAGGCCAGCCTGAACTGCATAGTGAGACCCTGTCTCAAAAAGACAAAAAAAAATCCCCCCAAATAAATATAAGTTAAAATTAAAAACAAAAAAAAATCATTACAGCATCTTTTGTTTCCATTTTATTATTTTTGGGGGTACTGGGAATCAAACTCAGGTCTTTGAGCTTGCCAGGCAGGCATTGCACCACTGAGCTAAATTCCCAGCCCTAAAAGCACCTTTTGGATGACACAGAAAATCCACTAGGAATCCCACCACTGGAGAGGCAGGAGGATCACCATGAGTTCAAGGCCAGCCTGGGCTACATAGCAAGACCCTGGCTCAAAAAGCAAAACACATCAGTTAGGATATTTATTTATTTATATTTATTTATTTATTTGTCTTTCTCGTTTTTATCAGTACCAGGGATCGAACTCACTACCTCACACTTGCAAGGCAGGTGCTTATGCCGCTGAGCTAAATCTCCAGCCCCCAGTTAAGAATATTTAAATTGTTTAGAATGAGGTAAGATAGAAGAAATAAAGGCAGAAAGCAGACATGGAAATCATAAATAAAAATTGTACTTTTAAGAAGACCATGACCTCCAGGACCCTGCAGAGGTCACCCAGGCAGGAGCTTCTCTTGGTGACATTCAGCTCCTTCCCAACCCGACCACCCCACCCACATCCCTCAGGAACAGTGAGTGTCCGCTTCACTGAGAAAGGGAGGCACAGGAGGAGCCCATCCTAGGTAAAGGAGAGGGGAGAGGCTCCAAAGCATGTGTAAATTACTGTTCCGCCAGGACACAGCAAAACAGAAAACAAAACCCCAACTGTGTCCCTCCCTGTTTAGAGGGCAAGTGCCCCTCTCAGGATGGCCACCTTCTCCAGGGTCCCCAGAAGCACTGACTGCCCTCTTTCCACGAAACAATGTATCTCACTTCTGAGTGCCCGAGGGACCCTTCACAATGGTGGGTCAGGTGCAGTCAGGTATATCAACCTCCAGGACTTCCCCAGACTCAAGAAAATAAAAGAAACAAAAGAAAACGACTTAAAATAAAAACAAAAATCACAGGAGGCCGTCGCTGTTGTTTTGTTGAGACAGGGTCCCACTCCATAGCCCAGGCAGACCTCAAAGTCGTGATTGTCCTGATTCGGCCTTCCTATGCCATGGCTGGATACTAGGTCTAATAGTCATCGCACTGGAGACTTGGCTGTTCACCGACAATCAGGGTCACCGGGGCAGTGGCTGCGCTCCCCAGCCGGTCACTTTAAAGCAGTGGAAGAAGGAGCCTCCTGCAGTGGATGCAGACTGCTGGCCTGCCCAGTTACCTCCCCGACTCGCAGGCAGGGTGCCCCACTGTCTCTGCTGTGCTCAGGGCTTCGCTTGTCAAATCATTCCCCTGCTGGAGGGACGTTTGTTCCCCTTAATACAGCAGGCTTTGTTTCCTGGTCCTGTCACGGCAAATAAAACCAACTAGGACTCTTTCCTTCTTTGAGATTTGTTCTCCTCATCAGGGACTGAGCTCAGGCCTTCCCAGTGAGCCACATCTCCAGCTCTGCTTTTATTCTTTGAGACCGGATCTTGCGATGGCACTAAATTGCCCAGGGTGGGCTCTGACTTGCGCTCTTCCCACCTCAGCCTCCCACACCGATGGGATCACAGCAGTGTAACAGCGTCTTCTGGTGACCTCTTGCAAAGCAGATGCATGGGTCGCCTAGGAAGGCCGCAGCCTCCATATCCATGCACGGACCCCAGCTGCCGTTGCCCACGCACCCGGCCCAGGGGCAGAGCAGCCCCGGACTTGGGACGCTTCAGCCTCCCCGACCCAAGGCCTTGCTGGATCCACCGCCCCAAGACCACCCTCGCCGCTCAGGGAAGGCCAGGGAAGAGATGCGCGACCCCACGTCGCAAGCACCTGTGGTATCTGGAGGGTCAGGCAGTAGGCAGCACCTCCCACGCGGGCCCCTCCTCCTCTGGAGAGCCCCGCCCTCCCCGCGCGCCCCGCCCCCTCTCTTCCGCGCGGCCCCGCCCCGCTCTTCCCTCCCCTGCAGCCCCTCTCCCTCCGACCTTCCCGCTCGCCCCGCCCCCGCCCCGCCCCGGCGGGACCCCCACGTTCGATCGCCCCGCCCCGCCCCTCTGCGCCGTCAGAAAGGCGCGCGGCCTCGCCTTAACGCGGCCCGGGGCGCGGGCCCGCGTGGCCAGCGGGCGGCAGGCGCAGGCCGGGCCGGGCCGGGGCTGAGGGAGCCGAGCGGGCGCTCCCGGCCGGGCCCACGATGCGGCGGCTGCGGCGCCTGGCGCCCCTGGTGCTGCTGTGCGCCTTCGCCAAGGGCCCGCAGGTAGGCGCGCGCGGGAGGGATCCGGGTTGCGTCTCCGCCGCCGCAGGCTCGGGCGCCGGGTCGCCGGGAAGGAGGTCGCCCGACCCCCGCGACCTTGAGCGTCACCGTCCCCTCCGTGCCCCTTCGATCGCGGAATCCGCGCCGCCCGCCAGCGCTCGGGAAGGAACCGGTGCCTGGCCCGCCTCAGCCTCCCTCCCGGAAGAGGGCAGTGATCGGAGCTCGGGCTGCAGAGACCCTGTGCCAGGCGCCGGTTCGGCAGGTGCGGGGTCCCGTGGGCGCCGTGGATGCCCCGCTATGCCAGGGAGAGGGGCCGCCGAGCAAGCTCCCCTGGGCGGGGAGGAAGGACGGCTGAGGTGTCCTCTAGGTCGGGTGGGCAGGAGTGCAGCCTGCACCCAGCCCCAGCTTCTGCCGGTCAGCGCTTTCTGCAGGGATGAGGGGAGCAGCAGGATCTGGCAGGGGCTGGCTTCCTGAGGAGAAGTCACCGTGCCGTTCCGACGCTCTGCAAACCTAAGGGGATCCTGCGGACTCAGGCTTGCCATCCGCCGCCACCCAGCTGCTGGGGCGCCTAAGGGAAGGCACCTGCCCAGGGATGGGCCTGGGAGAGATGGAGGCCTGAGGTCTGGCCAGAGTCAGCCTAGCAGTGATGGCCCTGCAGGGCCACCTGTGCTAAGGCCTGGCAGCCCATCGGGGATCGCTGAGAAAGGAGTGGTCTCCTGGTCCAGCACTGGCCCAACCCCACCCTTCTCCTGCAGGCCCCCAGCCAGGAGTCCTGACCTTGGCCTGTGATGGCAGCATCCCGCTCCCCTGCCACTGTTTTCCTGTTTTCCATTATGGACAGAGCCGACGGAAACAGGCTACAGTGCAGAGCCAGTGGCTGAGGGGCAAGGGCCTGACCTGGACCAGAGACCTTGAGTCCTGCTTCTCTCTCTGCCCAGGATCCCTGGGCTGTGGCTCTGAGAACCCCCATCACAGCTTCTCCTGGGGTGGCCTCCCAGTGGCCTGGAGTCAGGGAAGCTGGTGAGGGTATCCCACTGATGGGACTGGGCCTGGTCCCCGAGGAGCCAGTGGCCCCATTTCATGGAGGAGGAGGTGGTAACCAGGGCAGAGCAGGCTTGACAACAGGGAGGTCCCCTTAGGGGAGGCTGGCCTGTCCCTTGTCAGCTGTACAGCAGCTGGTGGCCACAGGAGGGGGCTCTGTGCCAGCAGGGGTCTCTTCTGGGGGGCAGCTGTCCTTCAGTCTATCCTCCTTCCCCACCAGGCTCTGGGCCATTCCTTGTCCCTCCATCCTGGGGCAGGGTGTCTATGCCCCTCCCACAGGCTGCAATACATGAGGGTGTGGGGTCCTTGGCTGTCAACCTCAGAGACCCTGTTTGGATTCAGGGGTCCTGGAACCCCCACACTCTATGCTTCCACCTGCCAACTGGGGAAACTGAGGCAGAGGGGCTGCAGATGATGGGCCCACCCCAGGCGTCTCACACAGGTGGCAGGCTCCTTCCTCCTGGCACGTCTTGAAGTGCTACTCAGCTAAGGCTAGTGGCTACCTTGGTGTGGGTAGATGCCATGTTGAGGGCCCATCACCTGTCCTTGGATATGTGAGTGTGTCACCTGTGGTTGTGGCTGTGATATACAAGGCTGCAAATGCCTCCCAGGGTGTGACGAGGGAGCCCCGGGACCCCGGCTTATGGGAAAGAGGAGGTCACAGCTCCCAGCCTAGCAGCTAGCTCACCCGGCCTGGCATCAGGGCAGTGTGGGGAGGTGGGGAAAGCTAGTTTGGAAAATGAATGCTTCTCAGTCCCCCACTTTGACCTGTTTTTATCTTCCCACCATGGGAACCCTGGATGTCAACCCTGATGCCCCGCTGCAGGGCAATCCCTAGGTGGTTCTTGGGGCTGCAGAGTGGTGCTGGCTGGCTGAGCAGTGGGTTGGAACCTGGAAAGGGGCCATGAGGGTTGTGGCACCCAAACTGGGGACTCTGCAGGCTGGGTAGGCATCCTCATAGGCTCCTCCCCGCAGGGCCGGATCTCGGGCCTCAGGGTCAGGTACGTGGTGCTGGTCTGGCTGGGCGTCTTCGCGGGCAGCTGGCTGGTGTATGTGCACTACTCATCATACTCGGAGCTCTGCCGCGGCCACCTCTGTCAGGTGGTCATCGTAAGTGTGGGGTTCCTGGGAGACCTGTCAGGAGGCAGTGCCTCGGGCCGGAGGTGGGCTAGGATGCAGGGGAGGGCACTGCTGGGGGAGGTGGTGGCCTGGGCACTGTAGGCATGGGTGTCTCCCCCAGTCCAGAGAGAGTCCCTGTCCCCACTGGGCCCAGGGACGCAGGCTGCAGGAGGGGGCTCCCTACACCTCTCCTGGTGCCACTGTCCTGGTGTGTGAGAGTGTGCTCATGGGAGGCTGGCAGTACCAGCTCATGAGGGTCTGGGTGTGATGCAAGCAGGGGGTCACTCCCTGCTTCTCAGGGTGCCCTGTGACAAGGGGAGCTTTCTGTCTTGGGACCCTGAGGACAGGGCCAGCCTCCCAGAGGAGGTCCTTTTCCCACCTACCAGTGCCAGAGCCATGCAGTGCCTGGTGCAAATGGTGCTCGGGTTGGGCACTGCATACCTTGGCCGATTCTGCATAGTGGGAAAGGAAACGGGAGTGAGGGGGCTTCAGAGGGACCTGATGGGCAGCAGGTGTTGGGAGAGGGCTGAACATACTGCCTGTGCAAGTCTGTGCTAGCCCCTCCTCAGGCCAGGAGAAAAGAGGTAGGAGCCCAGGATAGTGGGGTGGCATCCCCTGGGGTCCCAGACCTAGGTATGCTGCCTCCTCCCCACAGCCCTGTGAAGGGGCCACCCTGTCCCTAGGGCCCATCTGGGGTCAGGACAGACCCCTTTGGAGCTGGCAGAACCCACATGAGTGCATTGCCTGTCCCTTTTCCAGTTGGGATGGGGTACCATCATTCAGGCTGCCACAGAACAGACCCTGCCCTCAGGGCTCACGTGGCTGGGCATGGTGGCCTCTGGTTGGCCCTGCCACCTCCCGTCTCTGACAGTGGTGTTCAGTACCTCCCCCCACACCTTCCACCAGTTCCCCATGCTGGGCTTCATGGAATGCACCCCCACCTCAGACATGGCTCTGGGGCCCTATCCAGGGTGGGCTTGGCTGATGTGATGGCTGCTGAACAAGGCTCACTGACCCTCTGGCTAACGAGGTGGCCCAGGAAAGGCCTGGCAGGAGGGCCTGGTAGGGAGTGGTCACCCCCTGGCCCTGTGTGCTGTTTTCCTAGCTGACAGTGACCATCAGCTCAGCCATTGAGGGGGTGGGGGGAGCTTGTCCTGCATGTGAGATGGGACATCTGGGCAGATGCCCAGGTCAGGGGAGTGGGCGCTGCTCTGGATGGAACAGGCCCCACCCCCTAGGAAATCCAGGAGCCAGCCATGGTGCTCACAGGGACCTTGGACAGGAAACAGGAAGTGGTTTATGCCAGCAGAACCCTTGTGGCTTAGTTGACCTGTGTCTAGTTGCCCTCCCTCAGGGCCTGGGGTTGCCCCTTATTTCTGTAGTTTGGCCAGAGACCTGTCACAGTGGGTAAGGACAGCAGGCAGGGTTGCCATGACAGCAGCCTCTGTGTGCCAGGACATGGGTGCTGCCAGGGGCAGGGTGCCAGGCCACCCTGAGGCTGAGAACAGTGCTGTGGGCATTAGGTGCTGTGCAGCTGGCAGGAGTGATGGGGCTTCAGGCCCAGTGCCCTGGACACCCACCGTGGTGGGCTCCTGGCTCTGTGACATGCCTCTTCCCAGAGCCTCCTGCTGGGCCTTGGCCTGAGGGCATCCACAAGGGTGGGGCTGTAGCCACTAGCCTGTACCCCAGCCACATCCTGGCTCCCACATCCCCAGTGTGACCAGTACCGAAAGGGCATCATCTCAGGTTCCATCTGCCAAGATCTGTGTGAGCTGCACACGGTGGAGTGGCGGACCTGCCTGTCCCCGGTGCCGGGCCAGCAGGTATGTAGACAGGGCTGGGTGGGCCTGGGCTGCTGCACCCACTGTGGGAGAGGCTTGTGCACAGGTCCCTGTGGCCTCCTCCAGGTGTACAGTGGGCTCTGGCAGGAGAAGGAGGTGACCATCAAGTGCAGCATTGAGGAGGCCCTGAATGACAAGGACCGTCCAGAGGCGGCTGCCCGGCAGGAGCTGGTACTATTTGACAAACCCACACGGGGCACGTCCATCAAGGAGTTCCGGGAGATGACCCTGAGCTTCCTCAAGGTCAGCTTGCTGCCTGGGCCTGGGCAGGCCCAAAGGGACCCTGCAGCAGGTCACTCTGCCCTGTGGGCAGGCAGCAGTGAGAAAGGGGCCTTTCCAGGGCAGTGGGGCAGGTGAGCCAGCAGAGCCTGGGTGCACTGGGGGGAGGACTTGCTGCCCAGGTCTCCAGGCAGCATGGGGGCCTCTCCGGGACCCTCATGCACTGCAGGAACACATCAGCATGCTGGAGGAGTGCTGGGTGGGGTACAACAAAACCTCGGTGATCCTGGGTAGGGAAGCCTGCAGCCACCAGCCCAGTACTACTGGCCTGGGGGACCCTAAGAGACCAGTACAGGTCCTGTGCTCTGCTGGTGGAGTACAGCTGGGTCCCCAAATGACTCGACCTCCCTCCCCTCTGGTCCCAACACCAGGCGAACCTGGGAGATCTGCCCTCCCTGCCAGCGCTGGTCGGCCAGGTTCTGCTCATGGCGGACTTCAACAAGGACAGCCGAGTGTCCCTGGCAGAGGCTAAGTCTGTGTGGGCCCTGTTGCAGCGCAACGAGTTCCTGCTGCTGTTGTCCCTCCAGGAGAAGGAGCACGCCTCACGGCTGCTGGGCTCCTGTGGGGACCTTTACCTCACCGAGGGCGTCCCCCATGGTTCCTGGCCATGGGCCACACTGCCCCCGCTGCTGCGCCCACTGTTGCCACCCGCAATGCACAGGGCTCTGCAGCAGTGGTTCGGGCCTGCGTGGCCTTGGCGAGCCAAGATCGCCATCGGCCTGCTGGAGTTCGTGGAGGAACTCTTCCATGGCTCCTACGGGACCTTCTACATGTGCGAGACCACGCTGGCCAATGTGGGCTACACGGCCACCTACGACTTCAAGATGGCAGACCTGCAGCAAGTGGCACCCGAGGCCACTGTGCGACGCTTCCTGCAGGGCCGCCGGTGTGAGCGTAGTGCCGACTGCACCTACGGGCGTGACTGCAGGGCCCCCTGTGACCGGCTCATGCGGCAGTGCAAGGGCGACCTCATCCAGCCCAACCTGGCCAAGGTGTGCGAGCTGCTGCGGGACTACTTGCTGCCCGGCGCACCCGCCGCCCTGCGAGAGGAGCTGGGCAAACAGCTGCGCACCTGCACGACGCTGAGCGGGCTGGCCAGCCAAGTGGAGGCCCACCACTCGCTGGTGCTCAGCCACCTGAAGACGCTGCTCTGGAAGGAGATCTCCAACACCAAGTACTCCTAAGGAGCACGTACCCGGCCTGAGGGGTCCCCATGGCAGAACCACTGCCAGGGGCATGGGTCCGGATCCAGAGATCTCTTTGCAGACTGTTCACTCTGGCCCCACCCCCATGGGAAAGGCTGAGGCCACAAGGACAGGGGCAGTGCCCAGCCATGCAGGCAGGTCCTCTGAGGAACACATGTAAATAAAAGGCTTTTATGTGACACATGGGCACTGTGCTGTGGTACAGTGCGTGCTGCCTGGGGTCCTGTGGCCCTGTAGTCTAAGCAGCTGTGCCAGAGGCATAGGGGCCTTCACCAAATGGCTGCCAATTGTCAGGTTGGTGCCAGGAGTCAAAACCTGTTGGGAGTCCGAGCCCACCTCCAACTTCCACTCACCTGGACACATCCCTAGCCCTTCATTTCTGAGACTGAACCCCCCAGGCTGGGCACAATCTTTCCATCCTCCTGCCTCAGCTTCCCAGTGCTGAGATCACCAGTGTGGGTTTGGCACCCTTTTTGTTTTGTGATGGAGATTCAACATAGAGCCTCCTGTGTGCTGGACAGGTGCTCTACCAGTTATATTCAGGTTGTCAGCTTTGGTTCTGAAGAGGCTCTCTGCAGGCTTAAATAAATATGTGGTACAGAGCTAAGTGTTGCAGGTATGGTGGTAGATATTTATAATCCCAGCACTTGGGAGGCTGAGGCAGGATGCCCACTGTAGGTTCAAGACCAGCCTGGGCTACAGTGAAACTGTGCCCCCCCCCAAAAAAAAAAAACCTAGAGGGTGCTGGCAATGAGGCAGTAACAGATTTATGCAAGGAAAACCAGGTGTGGTGGCACATACCTGTAATCTCAGTACCTGGAGGCTGAGGCAAGATTGCCTAGATCACATGGTGAGTTGGCTTGTAAAACAGCCAAAACCACTTTAAAAGACAAAGCTCAGCTGTGTAAGTACCTGCCTGGCAAGTGCAAGGTCCTAAGTTTGATCCCCAGAACCAAAACCAAACCAAAAAAAAAAAAAAAAAAAAAATAGCCACCATTCTAGTTAACTTATCTGTATACTTTGTACTTACTGGTCAAGTGACCAGTAAGTACGCACCCCCATGCTCAGTGGTCAAGTGTCCAACCTCTTCCTGAGGATGCAGGCAGGAAGGTCTCCCTGCAGCCTGCTCTGCCCTCCAGTGGGACTGTGGCCCTTCCAAGAAAGGACACCAATAAACTCTTTAGCTTACTTTAATGTTTTTTGCTTAAAACTTCAGCCATTCGTTTCAATTCCCAGGTTCCAACCACAACTTGCCCATGTTCTTGGTGCCAAGAACCACACTTGGGCTCTACTTAAAAAGTCACTCTTCCCTGTGGTATTTTCCTGTCTCAGGCAAAACACAGTAGCCAACAACAAGATGACTGTCTTTAGTCAGTGCAGGAACTGGGCAAAGGCCCAGATGGGTGGGCAGTGTCCTTGGGGTACTCCATACCCAGTGACACGCTGCAATAGCCACTTACTTGCACAAGGTCCACAGTCTGCCTGACACAGCGCATGGAGCCAGGCCCCTTCCTTCTCACATTTTGAATCTGGAAAGGCAGAGAGGTGGGGTCAGACCAGGGCATCACCGATGCTTTCACTTAGGTCTGCCAGAGGATGCCTGGGAGACTAATCTGAGCACCTCAACTGCAGGGCTCCTTTCCCCAGGGAGACCCAGCAAGGTCTGGCACTGCTGACTTTTGGGACCACTGGACTTCCTGGGCACTGTAGGTCACCCAGCAGCACCTCAGCCTCCACCCATCTTTGAAGGGACTGTGAACCATGAGGGCAGTCAGAACAGACTGCACAGCTCTGAGGAACCTAGCTCTGAGGGCTCTAGCGTTGGTCTCACCTAGAGCACAAAGGCAGTAGGTGCCTCTGCTGTCCTCTAGAGGGCCTACAGACCAGAGACACCTCCTGCCTCTATCTCAAGATCCCCATGAGGGTCTGTGCCCCGGGAACCTCTCCATAGGGCTAAGGGGACTGGACAAAACACAGCTGGTGCCTGCCCACTCGATGGCTCTCAATCCACCCCGGAATGCCTGCTTCCAGGAAGGAAATCTGGGAATGAGAGAGAGCCTGGCAGGTATGTCCCAGCTAGCACCCCTGGAATCCCACAATCTGAGCTGTGGCTCTAGAATGTCAGGCTATAACCCATTCTCAGCGCTCACTGATCCCCGAACACTGAGTGTAGAAATAGCCAGTTGCTCTTTGCCCCAAAGTCACAGGAACAGAGGAGTGGCTGTGCCCATGGTGCTAGCAGGTCCAGTACCCCATCTGCAGGGCAGCCGCATACCCCTGGAGCCATTAGTGCCCCACAGCAGGTCCAGCTCGTGTATCTCCTAACCTTAAACTAGGGCGCAGCTCACAGGCAGTCTCCCGGATGAGGGTCACACTGAGCATGTTCAGTCACCATGTCTCCTGCATTAAACACCAAAATAATAAACCACACGAAAAGAAACCTACATGTACTATGTCTTCTCCCATGCACACACACTAGGATCAAGTGTCACCTTTTCACTTACAGGAGGGACAGGACAGCTCCTCCAGAACACCAGCATTGCTCCTCCTGTGCTTAGGAGCCATAAGGTAAAATGAGGGGTACACAACCACAGGCCTGTGGTGCTGGAGCTCACCTAACAGCTTGGATGGCTGAACCAAGGGGCGCTACACGCCCAGGGCAAGATGCACAAAACTGCATCTCTCTTGACCTCACACTAACCACACCCCCAGTGCTATTTTAAAACTTGAGACAAGGTCTGAGTTGCCCAGGCTGGGCTTGTACTTGTGATCCTTCTGCCTCAGGCATCCAGCATTGGGTACTGTGTTACTGCATCTGGAATAAGGCTGAGATTTTAGAAATCTCTTCACATTCTGGCACCTGTAGCTGGTACAGCTGGTAGGTTTCAATCACACATCCAGCCAGGCCTGTAATCTCAGCACTCAGGAGGCTGAGGCAGGATAGCCATGAGTTCAAGGCAAGCCTGAGCTACATAGCAAGACCCTGTCTCCAAAAAGGGAGGGGAGCACCACTTTCTATGGTTTTCAGTGAGGAAACCTAACAAACCCCAAACCCCACCCTGGAGTAAACTATCTTTGATCTGCTGTGAAAGAACAAATCCCTCATGTGGCTGAGGGTCATCAGGAGAGGGTGCCTCACCCACAAGGCTTCAGGTGGCTGCAAGGGCACTGGCAGTGTCAGGCTACTAATCATTCAGGTATTCATGGGTCCGAACACTGAGCGTAGACATAGCCTGGATTCTCTCTGCCGCCTAATGACACAGATGTGACACAGCAGCCACGCCTGCAACGCCTCTAGGGGCAGTGTGCACAAGCAGAGTCCCAGGGGTCCAGGGCTCACTCAGTTTGTCTGTCTGAGGGGCGAGGGGGGATATGTTGCAGTACCAACCTGTCAACTTATGTGAGACTCTGGCATCTCTTTACAGGAGTTCCTTCTCCCGCAGGCAAACTCCCTAAGATAGAAAACAACTTGCTTTACACAGAGGTCAGCAAGACCAGGCCAGGGAGTTTGGACTACTTTGTTGCACATGGTGTCCAAAAAGAGAGAACTGCTTCTGGCTACAAGAGGCCTTCTAGAACAATCCAACCCCACGTTCCTCCCTCCCTTTTCAAAGCCATGTTGAGAGCTGGTTATTTGCAAAGAGAAATCTAGTCCCTATCACCTATCACCCTGAAGTGAGCAGCAAGTGCACACCCGAGCTTTTCTGCTGGCAATCACTCCTTCTGCCTTAGAAGCTGGGGTGACACCTGACTCACAATGACCAAGCGTGACCTCGCCTGCATCCCAAACAGCCCTCGCTCGCAGTGCGCGCCCTCCCGCGATGCCCCACGGCCCGGGCCACTTAAATTTTGTCCAGGAGCCCAACCCCACGCTCCCTTTTTCGTTTTTTTGGAGACAGAATCACGCTATGTAGTGCAGGTGGCTTAAACTCGCAGCGATCCTCCTGTCTCAGCGCTCCGGGTGCTGGGGTTGCCGGCTCCTGCCCGACTCACGACCTTGCGCCTGCAGGCTGGGACTCCCCTACCCTGAGTACCTAACACAATCTGCGTTATCTATCAGCTTATTACACAAAATGCACCGCTGCCCTCCAGGGAAGAGCTCAATTTACCCCCAGACATCCAGGGACCAGGCCCTGGGCTCACCTCCTCTGGAGCGCACGGCCCCTCCCTGCTGCCTGACACAAAAGCGAGACCACATCACACCGCCCGCCCTCCATGGCCGCCGAGAGGACACACGAGCTCGCACCGCGCCCTTTATAGCGGGGCGGACGGCGGCCCGCGAGGGACAGAGCCCGCCGCTGCAGCGCCCTCTTCCGGCCAGCCGCGCCAAGCCAGCGCACAGGCCCAGGTGCACAGCGGAGAGGGCCTCAGGCTCGCTTCCGGGATATCTCGGAAGGGCACGGGGCCGATCCAGCATCTCGAGTCCCACAGACTGCGCAGAGACTCCCGCTCCTGCCCGGTCCCTGAGCCACCTGGAGTCAACGTGTGTGCTAGCGGCTGGAGCAGCGATGCTCGCCTTCTCTTTTACTCAGGTCCCCGCATACTGGGCCCTGGACGTTGCTAAGCCTATAGGCACCCTCCTGTCCTCCTCCTGGGACCTGTCCATAGCCCTGCCCCAGCTCCCAAAGGTGCACTCACTCCTGCGTGGCCTCTGGCACACTTAAGATCAGTATGTGCTGAGGCCGCCTGGATAGATGGGGGTGACCCATAGATGACACTTCAGGGCAGAGCTTTCTGTCTATTCCAAATCCATAGTCTCCACACTCACTGGGAATGTGGTCAGGCTGGGACAGGGCTTCCCATGTCCACTGCCCAGAGGCTCTCTGGGTGAAGAAATATGCCCTGATCACATTTTTGCACTGCTAGAGGCGAGGTTGGGGCAGGGACATCAGCTCTGGACCAGAGGATGGCAAGTCTGGGCCACAGAGACTAGGTAGTCTGCAGTGCCTTGTTCCTGCCCCAGCCCCAGGCCATTCACCATCTAGCATGATGCAATGGAGCAGAGGGATGAGAAGGGAGCTCCAGGGGTGAGGTTTCTCCTTGCTCAGCCCATTCCAGGGGCCAAAGGCAGAGGCCAGGGAGATCTGGGCGCTGGGGCTGCGGTGCTGCTGGCTCCAGCAAGGTGCTGCTTTCAGAACGGACATGAACTAGGCAGGGCCAGAAGCGTGGAGTAGAAAAGCTGTGGAGGATCAGCCTTTCTGCACAGCTGTCCACAGGCAGGAAATGCCCATCACCTTGTCATCTGCTCCTGGCTGGCCTCGGGCCCAGCTCTTCCAGCACCGGCTCTAGGACCAGCACCTGCTGCCCAGCTCGGTTTCAGAGTTAGAGTCAGTGCACAGCCACAGCTGGAACCAATAACATCTTCCAAAGTCACACGATAGGCACTGGCTCGGGTGCCTGAGCTCGATTCTGTGCCAGAAGCCATTCCTGCCCCGGGCTAACCTCCGGCAGGTCCGCTGCTGTCTCTAGGGCCAGAACAGGACTGACCCAGAAGCAGCTGTGGCACTGACTCCAGACGCAGTGGTGGTGTTGTCACCAACTGCTGTGCTGGCTCCTGAGTTAGAGATGGCACCAGTTCTAGAGACTACACCAACCTCAGAAGGCCTCCAGCACCAATGCCACCCCTGCCACCATGCCCAGCTGTCACATATGCCTCCTAGAGCCCAAGCATCACCTGGAGCATTGACTCACATCAAGAACCTGTCTCACTGCTGTTTTCAGAGCTGAAGCTGCACAGGGTCCAGAGTCACTGGGAGCTGCAGAACCAGCCCAGCCCCAGCTCCTGGACTAGAAGCAGGCCTGGTGACACCTCCCGAGCTGGTGATGCTGGCACAGCAAGGTGGGGCCCAGTGGCAGCCCCACTCAGCAGGAGTGAGGGACTGGCCACCTCTGTTTTCCAAAGAGCTCCAGGAGAGCCGTTGCTGTGCCTGCTGTGTATACTCGGGTAAGTTCACAGTGAAGGCTTTTCTTTATGGAAAGTGCTAGAACTTTGGATTTGAAGCAATCTCTTTCCTTGTGTAAACTGCACTATTCAGGGTTATCCAGAGACACAGGACCAATAAAGCGTACACAGAAAGACAGGTTTAGTGGGTGATAGCAGGTAGATGGACAGACAGGCAATGGGTAATTGACAGGTGATAGGTGGGTAGAGTTATGTAGAAATGAGGGATTGAGAGATTTATTTTAAAGAACTGACTTACTGTGAGGAGGCTAGGAAGCTCAGACACCTGCAAGGTCAACCAGCAGGCTGAAGGCCCAGGGCTTAGGGCCGCCCAAAGCCGGGACTCCCTCAGTCTCAGAGCCCCGGTCAGTGTTTGCTCCCTGACTGGGCTTCCCAGGAAGACACCTACGCACTCCTTTGGGGCTGGTAACAGACGGCATTGTCCTGGGAGGGTCTGGGATCCATAGGGTGTCAGCAGGGCTCCCCACCCACAGACATAGGAGTGCAGCCCTCACAGTCCCCGTGGCATCACTCCTGGTCACCCCACCTGTGGAAAACCACAGCAGCCCTCTGAGTCCTTTCCAGCCCATCACACTGCCCCGTGCGGTGGCACAGCTTGTGATCCCTGCCATGCAGGAGGCAGCTTGCCCCTGGCCAAACTGAGATCACCAGTGCCTCCAGCTGCTCCTCCTCCGAGGGGGCCCAGCGGCGATGCCTGTGCCCTTAGCTGAGGACAGACCCTGCAGAGGCCCTGATGAGACCAAAGGGCTCCTGCTTGACAGGTCCAGGCTCCGCCATGGTCTTCCCCCTCCTTCCCATGCCCTCTCTGCCTCCACTTCAGTGAGGTTTTCAGGAATCCACAGTTCCCACTGGTGCTGCCGACTAAGGACAGGGCTACAAGGGCCAGGCCAAGGCAGGTGAGGTGCAAGTGGCCTGCAAACTCCTGGGTGCCAAGCACAGGGCAAGGCTACTCCTATTCTTGGGCCAAGAGCCTGCTGTTGGCCAGGCTGGGCTGAACCATGTTTGCTTTGTTGTCTGGGCCTCCTCCTCTCTCTTCCCCTAAGCAACGCAGGCTGTCAGGGCACTGTCCTGGCACCTCCTCAGCATGCATGTAGGGCTGACAGCACCATGTCCTGATGCCCTGGCAACCCCAAGGGAAGGCTCTTCCCCTGACCCCCCACCCTGCCCTGTACCCCTACCACAGCCTGCCATCTCGGCTCATGCCATACTGGGACGTGTGTGCTTCAGAAACAACAGAACCCATAGGCTTGGGAGAGACAGCTGCTGGACCCACACAAGGTGCTGTGGCCAGGGATTCACAGGGGTAGATGGCAACCGTGGGCGTCCAGGGCTTCCAGGATAGGATGGCCTAGAGGAAGAGAAGGTCTTCAGGACTCTGAGCCCTCCTGGAGTGGCTACTGGCCCCGCTGGGCCTTGGGCTAAACCCCTTTCAGATAAGACAGACCCTGGGGACATACTTGTAACTCAGTGTAACAGGAGATTCCAACCCAACCCAGGGAAGGCTACACAGGGTGTCAAGCCCAGTGTGGCGTCGAGGAAGGGCCGGGGACCACATCCTGAGAGAGGTGAAGGGGAGGACCCAGCTCTGTGTACCCAGGGTCTCCCTGCTCTGTCCCAGGACAGGTGGTTATGACACAGCTTCTCACATGGTGGCACAGGACGATGGTGACCATGTAAGTGTAGGGTCTGAAGTCCTCACTGCCAGGACTTTGCTGCAGTTGCTAGCAGAGGAAGCCTTGAGGTCCTGATCCGCCCCTGATCTCTGCCCTGTGTCTGTCCCTGAGGGGGGCAGTGTCTAGAGCTGCGAGAGTCTTCAAGTGTCATCCACACTGCAGTTTCTGGTCAGCGGCTGTAGAGGTGCAGAAAGAGGTAGGCTGGTCCCCCAGCCACCTTGGCCACCCCAGGGCAAGTGCAAATAGTGTCTCATCCACTGAGACCACGCCCACCACTCTGGACCTGTGCTCTCTTCCGTGGGCATCCTGCCTGGCTGGGTGCACCTGGGAAGACATTGCCTGAGGTTATGGCTCTGGAGTGTGTCACCCAGACACAGGGGCTATGGGGACAGGGGCTGGCATCAGGCTGACACACACACCTCCTTCCAAAGCCTAATCCCTGGCTTTGGCCTACGCTAGCCAGGAGCTGGAGTCCAAGAGATAGGGACACAGACAGTAGGCACTTTCCATTTACAGGTGCAGAACCAGAGGGGCTGTTTCCTGTGCTGACCCTGAGACCAGGGTCCACTGGCTTTGCAGGCTTCCTGCCTCTGCTGTGGTGTTGGGGGCAGGATTATGAAAAGGGGAGTGGCCAGATGGTGCTTAAGTCTTTGGGGGTTGCTGGAGGGTGTGGCCGAGAGGTCTTGCGAGGCATTGGGGGTGGGGCTACGAGAGAGGCGTGGCCAGATGGTTCCAGTCCTGCAGTCTAGAAGGGTGTGATTGGGAAGCTGAGGACCATGCTGCAGGTGATCTGGCCCAGAGGGGACCCTGGCAGACCTCTGCTATCAGTAAAAGCTACTGGGGTGATTCCAGCACAGGACCAGAGGAAGATATTTATAATCTGTCTTTCCAGAACTCTCCAAGGAGACGCCCCACTGCCAGAGCCCTAAAGGGCTGCTGCCCACTTCCTTTCCTACCTCAGCCTCTGGCTGGTGGGGAACCGATCGTCCTCACCTGTGGGCTGGAGCCCAGCCCTGTGGGCCTCACATCCCCCTCCCCATCAATGTCTCCATCCAGAACTGGGCTTGGTGGGCAGCACCTGCAGAAAGTACCTCCAGGACCCACACAGGGCCACCAGCCACCACCCAAGCATTGGGCCTCATTTGTCCTGGCCATCAGCACCTACATGAGACCATCATAGGGCTGGGCCTTTGGGTCCTTTCTGCCCATTTCCCTGTCCCCACCACTGCTTGCTCAGAAGCCCCACAGACAGGCAGAGTCAAGGAAGTGCTGAAGCCATTTATTTATGCAGAACTGGGAGGGAGTCCAGGGAGGAAGGCCGGGAGGCCTGCTGGCCAGGAGGGTCTCCTTCCGAGTCCCCAGGATGGAGGTCTCAGTGGTGCCACCCGGGGCTGCTTCAGAGCCGTGTCCACTGGCCTAGAAAGGAGGGAGGTCAGCAGGGCCAGGCCAGGAGAGGAGCAGGGGACTGCAGGGGCTGATGGTAGCAGTGAGGGGCTCCTCCTCCAGGCACCAGAGCAGAGCTGGAAGCTCCTTCCCCAGTTGCCCATGTGGGAAGACGGCACAGAGACTCCCGCCAGTAGGGTGACAAGGGAAAGATGGGGTGCCCTTTAGTGTCTGCTCTGCTGCACCTGGCCCAGAGAC